CCTCGTCTTCGATGAAGAAGATTTCTTGGAGAGGTCGCAGTTCTTAAACTTTGTGGAAGGTGCATTGTCGTTTCGTGACCTGTCTCCTTTGAAAGCCTTTTCTCTTTCATGTTATGTGGACGATGGCGAATCTCGCTTAAATACTTGTGTCGATGCTGCGATAAGATGCAAAGTTCAGGAGCTTCACTTGTGCCTCGTTGTAGAGATGCATCCTCCTGTAGAGTTCCACCTTGAAATGCTTCATAATTTCAGAGTTCCTTCTTTAGTTTGTCTTCCAAATCTGAAGGTCTTAACTCTAGAATATGTTGGATTTGGGGATGATAATTCATTCGAGAAGCTGCTTGCATGCCCTTCCCTCGAGGAGTTGTCTCTTAAGAATTGCAGGGGTCGGCAAATCAAGGTTTTGAACATTGGTGCTCCCAATCTTTTGAAATTGACGATAGTTGAGCCTGACTTTTTGGCGGGTTTAGATAGACACAGCCAAGTACGGATTCATGAAGCTAGAATCAAATCCTTCCACTATTCTGGTCAATACGGTGGTGGTGACCTTACCATGTCATGTCCATCGTCACTAGTTGAAGCTGTCATTACAGTGTTTTATCCAGCAGAGGAAATACCTGATCAATGTGCCGACCGTGTATTTAAGCTCTTAAAGGATCTTTCTAATGTAGAACATCTTACTTTATTTTACGAAGGCCTTTGGGTACGCTTTCCTGTTTTTATCTTCAATCTCGTCTCTTTCCTTCATTTCTTTGGAGCAATTTATTTATGTTTCGGATTACTGTTGGCCTGGAATTCACTATATTTCGGGCTTTCTTGTCAGGATATGAATGAGAGACAAGATCTCCTCGACTCTTTTCCGGTCTTCCGTAGCCTTACCCAATTGAAGTTGGACATCAGTCCGACATACTTAGATTGTAGAGCGCTTCAGGTCATGCTCAGCCAAAGTCCTTGTCTGAGGAGTCTTGTGTTTGCTATGGTAACTATCTTGTAATTATTGATTCTCATCCCTTCTCTGTTTTGGCTTGTGCTAACAAAATTTCGGAGATTAAACCAGAGATGAGTGATACATATATCTGATTTAGGGCTTGATCGAGGACTCTGAAATTGATGGCTGGACGCTGGACCCAGTGCCTCAGTGTTTTCTGTCATCGGTTATAGATATCAGGATTTGCAACTTCACCGCAGTTGACTTCGAACTCTTAGCTGTGAGAGTTTTACTTAGGACTGCTGAAGTTCTGGAGAAATTGTTTATTCATTGTTCTCAGGGTTATAGGAAGAACTTTCGAGGGAACTTGAGGAAACATTTGATGAAGCTTCCTCGGGCTTCAGATTGATGCGCCATTTCGCTGGAGTTTAGCGAGAAGTGCAGTGGATGCTCTAGGGAATTTGATTTGTTTGGTCATATTAGCTGTCTTTGCTGAAATTAGAACATCTTCCTGAAGTAGGACATCCATCATGTGGCTATAGGTGAAATCATGCTCTCATCAGTCATCCCTGGTTCTTCAAGTTCGCCTTTTTGGAGGACATCTACACCACTTCCGTCTTCATTCATAACGCCATGTACATAGATCGTCCATTCTTCAGTAGGCGACACAAGACAAGGGTGTCAATATGATGGATCATTGGTATCAAGTATCATGCTGATGTTGTGGCGATCGCCACGTTATCTATTGCTTTGATCGAAACCTCCGGTCGGTGAATTGCGTACTGCAAATAAGGGAGTGACACAGGTGGGCATCCGGAGTTTGTACATATTGTTGGCGTGTTTATTTAGCTAAATGATGAAGTAACCTTGTCTATTGGTTGCACTTCAGCGAAGATGATGCTATGATTTACTTAGCTCTATAAATCGTTTGAAATTACTATTAGACAGTGATTTTAGCTTGTTGAGTCCCTCACCAATGCAATCCGTAGTTCTAAACCCCAACACCCGACACCATTGGCTTAACCACCATCGACACGGAACATGGAGTTTGAAATAAGTTGACATAAGTCTATGAACTTTGACCCGATGTGCAATGTGATCCTTAGACTTTTAATTTGTTTGATGTGGTTAATGAATTGTTGGTGAATGTTCAACGTTGACCTTCTGTTTGTTCAAATTAGGGGTGAGCATGGTTCCAAGGTATAACTCGGAACTTGAAAATCGAACCGGTGGAAACATGTCCGGTTTCAGGTTCCGAGGTATGCAGGGTAGGTTCTAGATTCTGCGTAGGTGGAATCTGGAACCTAGAGCCTAGAACAAGGAACAAGTTTTTGTGTTTTTCTTAGTCAATGTCTTCGCGCGATCCCGTGGTATAACATAACGTCCAATGATAAGTGTATAATCTGGAACCACTAGTTTGAGCTTTCATTTTATGACCGAAACTTTTACTTTGTTAATGTTTTGTTTTTTTCATGTGTCTAAATATAAGTTGTGGTGAGTAAATTGTAGCAGCAATTGATGGTCATAAAAGAAAATGTTTAACTGCAATCGTTCAATTAATGATACTGGTGGAATCTGGGTAGTCCCTGGAACCTGACAGGGTAGGTTCCAGGTTTCAAGATATGTATAATAAGTTTCAGATTCTAAAAAATGAGGAACTTGTTCCAACGTGGATTTTGTACGAAATCTGGAACCGCTCACCCCTAGTTCAAACGACAAATCAAATGTTATTTGATAGCTTAAATTGTTATATGTTGAATTGTGTTTTTAAAAATGATGAGTCAACATGTCCATCTTTTTATCTATCTCCTTTAGAAAAGGAAAGATATCAAGACGTTGACATGTCCACTATTACTTGGTGACTTGGATTATTATATCATGAACTTAGATGAATATCTTACGTGGATAATTCGCATGTAACTTGATTTTTTTCACTATTCAAATTTAACTGAATGGAAGTTACCTTTAACAGATTTCATTTAATTTGAACTAATGAAAGGACAAAATTGAATATTTTTATATAGTCTAGGGATTAGATTGAGCATTTACCAATGTTTCAAGAATCATATTGAACAAATTAAAAATTCATGGAAGATATTGCACATTGGGCCAAAATTCATGTATCACTTGAATCATTTTCCCTTTCATTCGAATTGGGTGATAGACTATAATATAAGACCAATTGAACGTGATTACGTCCAAGTTTCAGTGAATCAAATAGGAAAGAATTGTGAGTCGTATGTGTTGATTGAACGATATACGATGTGTTCTTTTATTATTTTGTGGGAATTTCAACATATTGCGTGTATTGAAGCAGAGAAGTAGTGGTGATCATGTCTTCGGTCTATGTTTTGATGCGAGAGAATTGATCTTGATTGGCGAGTAGATCAAGCCCGAACGGTGGGTTGAGAGGAAGATTGCCTTTTAAATGGAGGGGGCGACAAAGGATGTGAGGCACAGCGCTGGCGCACGCTCGAGTTGAAATCAACTGCCGGCACCGGCGTCGAGGGCATGTATGGCGAGACATCCTCTTGTACTTACCTCGAGAGGGGTTGCGTTGATTTGGTGGCAAGGGGCGAGGTTGGCGGCGTCTCAACGGTGGGCGGCCGCTTTGGCAAAGGTGGCGGGCGGTGGTGGCAGAAGGTATATAATGAGAAGCCACAAAAATGTTTCAAGGAGCTGACTATTGTATTTCTCAAGGACTAGGAAATCCCTATACGAACATGGAAATCAAATCGATTGGTACAACAAAAAACATCTAGGTCCAAAAAGAGAGAGCTTTCTCAGGGAAAAAAAAAAATCCTTATCGTTTTATCGATAAATAAAAAAAATAACTAATATTATCTGATAGATAAAAAATTTAACTATTATGTTGCGAGGTGAACCCAACAAAACAGTGAGGCTGCGTTTGGTCGACCGTATAAAAGCCAGGATAGGATATGTTTTATCCTATCCTGTGTTTGGTGGTGGTCCAGGATAGGATAAGGTCGGATATAGACTGGATATAGCCAAGATAAAAAAATCCGGGGGAGAGGGTAGGATAGACCCGAATACGATTTCTAATGCCTATTTTTCCAAAAACCCTACGCTCCACTCGCCGTCATCTTCATCCCCACACCTTGTGAGCTTTCACCAAAAAAATTTATCGACTTTTTTTCCTTCACTGACTCCTCCGGACCCGTGAATAGCAAAAAAATAAAATAAAAATTATCATATCCGACTTTAAATCCGTAGTCCACCAAACAGTGGACAGGATATGAAGAAATATCAGGATTTCTTATCCTATCCTATCCAGTCCTATCCTGTTTAGAAATCCGGACGACCAAACACAGCCTGAGATAATAGTGTTCGTTCTTGTACTAGAAGCTATTTATAATTTTCGAGTGAAAATAAGAAAACTTTCTTGTACTATTTTCTACTTCTAAAAGTCATATAAGAATGCATTTTTCAAATTTTTTATTCCAATCTAGAACACAATCTACTGTTAAAAATTAAAAAAAAAACACATCCTTCTTAATTCCCAAAGCAACATATTAGAAGTATTTTTTGGAACTTTTATTCGTATTGGTATTATCTCAAAATAAAGTACGTTCTAAAATTACATAAAAAAGCTAAAAATGCAATAACATTTTCTAAGGCCTAACCTTCAATAGAAGTAGAAGGAAAAATGACACAAACAGTACCCTAAATTTTGGCAAAATGTGTAATGTGGTCCTTGAAGTTTTAATTTATTTAGTATGATCTCTAAACTTTAATCCAATGTGCAATGTGGTCCCTGAACTTTTGATTTGTTCAATATCATCCTTGAAATTTTGATACATGTTCAATTTAGTCCCTAAACAATATGAAAATGTTCAATGTAATCCTTTTATTAAATTCAAGTTCAAAGACTATATTGAATATTTTCATATAATTTAGGAATTATATTGACCATATACCAAGTTCAGGGTCCATATTAAATATTAAATTAAAATTTAACGATTATAATGAATAAATAAAAAATTCAGAGATTACGTTAGATATTAGATCAAAGTTAAGGACTGTTCGTATAATTATCACGACGATGAACTTATCCTAAAACCCTTCTCTCTCCTCCAAAACTCAAAACACCGCCAGCGTCCCACTTCAGAAACTGCGGGAATGCGAGAATGAGAGCTCCCACTCTTGCTTCCAGGTTCACCAATGGCTTGTTACTAATGAACTGCAGAAGCTACGGTCGACCTGTTGCCTTCTTGCCGAACCCAGCATCGTCGCCAGCGCGCCTCTTTGCAGCTTCTTTGCGTTCAAGAACTGTAAAGACCACAGCTTTCGGACGTGATTTCTCTAAACCGGACGTTGCCCGCGCTTCTTCGCCTGATTCAGTTAATGGGTACTTGTCGAAACTCTCGTTTATTTGTTGCTTCAACTTGGTGTCCTGTTCGCCGCTTTAAATGGGCGGAGAAAAGCCTTTTGTTTCTGTTTGACGTTATGTCTGAAAGGAGGTTTGTTTGGAGTATGAATGCTGTGGAGTTACCTTCTAGTGTTTATTACATGCTTGAATTGAATTGCTTCATTGACAATTTGGCCTGTACCTAGTGATAAAACTGTGTGAAGAGTAGTTCCAATCTCTGGCAATCACTTTCAGCCGCTGGATAAGCTGAAACACATGGTTCTATAAGCTGCATATTTTGGGTCCCGGATGACCATCGGGTGACCACTATATGGTCTATCACTCTGTCATCTTGTAAATCACATGGTTGTTGATGCCTAGTATTCTTTGATTACTGGGGAGTTGTTTCGGGTAACATGACCAGTCTTGATGCTTTGAGCATTCTTGGGCATTTACGCTGCATAGAGTAATTAAGGGGGAAAACAAGAAGGTGAAACTCAAAAAGCCTGGTCGTTATTAACTAATATCTGATTCAATCTTTCAAGTAGCTTGGCATACCATGTGCTGAGAAAATTTGAAACCCAACTCATTTGATACTTGGTCTAGTGGAAAACGTTTTCCAATCTATTGTTGTCTGGTGACATCTTTCAACTATTGCTGAGGATTAATCTTTTTCAGCTTGCAGGAGTATAATCGGTTATTACCTTGCCCCTCACATAGTAGTCCTCTAAGAGTCGAACACTTGGTTGTACCTGAAGAAAGAGAAGGACCTGCTTTAGATTTTATCTGTAAAGCTCTGGATCTTCCTCCATTGTGAGTCTTTATTCCTTGCTTTTTGTATCCGGTTAATGGCATACTACATGTGAAACAGAGTGGGGTGTTAAATAGGAAATTTCATTCTTTGAAAGGTTTGTTGCAGATCTTATCCACTTTGGAGCTGTACATTATGCACTTGTTTGCCCACAACCTCCACCAACTGCTACTCCAGAGCAGATCAGAGTATTTAAGGAAGTTACAAAGCCATCGGTTTTGAGAAAGAGAGCATCTATCAAAGGGAAGACTGTAAGAGAAGCACAGAAGACACTCCGAATAAGTGACCCTGGGCAGTTTGTTGAAGCAGGAACATACTTGAGAGTTCATGTTCACCCTAAGCGTTTTCCGAGGTTACTCATCAATGATGATTGTGCTTCTGATACCTATATTTCCAGTTAGGTAACTTTGTGACACTTGAACTTTGATCAGGTGCTATGAGATTGATTGGAAATCAAGAATCATTGCTGTAGCTGAATCCTATGTAGTTTTGGACAAACCTGCCGGTACATCTGTAAGCTATCTTTCATAAAGTATCTTCAAGATTTCTTTGATCTGCTATCAACACATAATTCTGGATTCACAAACCGAGGAGTATTGGGGCCATGTTCTTGTTTTGGAGTTTGGGCTTGTGGTGTTACCTAGCTTTAATATGTAAGATTTATGAAAGAAATCTAGTAGATGAGAATGTGAGATGGCTTCATTCAATATGCAACCTTTCTATTCTTGTTCTCTGTTTCTGTTGTCCTATTTCATAGCCATTTACTCTCCACTCGGAACAAATCTTTCAGCCTTTACTTCTCTGTCTGATATTTGAGACCATCGACACATGTTTTATGTAACTTGGGTCTTTAGATATATGAGAGTTCTGAACGACTAGTGACATTGATGACCATGTGCTTGTAGGTCACATGATCTGTCTGCAGAAATGGAAGCCCTTTTCTGCAGAAGCTTGAGCTTTTATACTAGTATCTGCTGTTTGCTTTATTTCCACTGGATGAATATAGCATCAACCAGATTTTTTCTTTAATTGGGAATGGACTTATGGCCAAAAAGAAATTTGAAATTGGAGAAACCAAACTATTGCTTAGCTTTTGAGGATGCTACATGTTCATAAAATTTGGAACATAGAGCATAAGTTCTTTGTACCTTAATTAGGCTGTTGATGGTTAGTGTTTTTGAGTGTTGGTAAGTGAAATGAGTAATGAGTCATTTTGAATTTAACTCAAGGTGGCAACAATTGAAATCAGCTTTTGATTTGGTTTTCTTGCATTTACATGGACCTGTGTTTGGATAAGGGGCGTGTGTAGCTCACGAAGTTGAATTTACTGGTTAGAGCAAAATGATAGATTGGCTGACTTGTCTGGGCATTAGACTTACATGACATAGTTCTGTATTGCATTTATGAACTTAAGTTTGTGGCTTAATGTCGTAACTCAAAGCTTAATTGAACTGTTTCTTTTCATTTGAAGGGAAAGTTTTCCATCTTAGTTACCATCATTATTTGATTGTTTTGTGTTCTTTTCCTGAATTTTCCTTCAGCTGCATCTTCTATTTTCTTTACATGGATAGGTTGGAGGAACCACGGATAACATTGAAGAGACTTGTGCAACTTTTGCGACTCGTGCTTTAGGACTAGTAGAACCGCTTAAAACTACTCATCAGATTGATAATTGCTCAGAAGGATGGTAAGTTGGCAATTTCTGTCTGGCATTTTGCTGGTGCTAAATTTTCTCATAATAAATATTGTTGATAGTGAGCAGTTGCTTTAAATCAATTGCAGTGTTGTGTTAGCCAGGACAAAGGAGTACTGCTCGGTTTTTCATGGTAAAATCAGAGTAAGTTGACAGTATTTAGTTCCAGATTTTTCTTGTAATGGGTTTTCCCCCTAATGTAAAGGTTCAGGTCAGTCCCTACCTTTTGAATGTTTATTCTTAAATGGTTTGTTGCCAGGAAAAAAAGGTGAAGAAGCTTTATCTTGCTCTTGCTGTTGCACCTATGCCCCTTGGAATAATTACACACTACATGCGCCCAGTCAACATGGCTCCAAGACTTGTTTCTGAAGGTAATAGTCTTTGGTGTTTGTAACCTAACAAGACATATTAGCATGCTTCTACCATGTTTGGGCAGGGGATTCAAATTTTTACTGTTTTGTCAATCTAAAGCGAAGTGAGAAGTAGTAGAAGATGGTATCATTTGAAGCAAATGGATTGATCAAACAATAGATGAACTGTACATAGACTTTTGGTGCTTGATTTCCAATTTCCCATCTCAGTTAGATTGTCACTCTTATTCATTGCATCTGCAATATTTCCTTTGCTGGAGGTATAGAATAACAACGTGAAGCAGCTTTCCTTATATTCCTCAAAAATGGTTGTAGGAAGCTAATCATGATGCTTAGTTTGCATGCATGGGCAATACATGGACTTCTTTATTGGTGTTTTTTGTCTCTATGTTTTTTTTCCCTGCTGTTTCTCAGAAAGCAACAGGTATGGAGCCTGCTGGCTTTGCCTGTTTGCTATATCTGTGCCCTTTTGGGAACCTTTGATGATATTGTTACTTAAAATATCTTGGCATCCAGAGTTCACGAAAGGATGGTATCTCTGCCAACTTGAGGTCATGGAATGCAAGGAAGTTGCCTGGCCGGACTCTGTTGTTGAAGCTGAGTATTCTGTTGAAGACTGTGGGTGGACCAAGAAGGATGTTGCCTTCGAATGCAAAATTAACCTCCTGACTGGTCGTACTCATCAGGTTCTTGCTGTCTCCTTGACATGCGGTAGCCAGAATGATCATTTTTGCTTCACCCCCTAGGGTCCTTGCATTCATATTGATTATATGCACTTTGAAGAATTACTTATTACAAGTGAAAACACATACTTCAAATGTTGAACCAGTATTGATCTATCTAGAGCGTAATCCGAGGATAATTCGGTTTTAGGCTCTTAGCAGAATTCAAACCTAAGATTGGAAGGCTTATGATGCAGATTCGTGCCCAGTTGGCTGCCTGTGGTGCACCAATTGTGGGTGATTCTGCGTACATGCCTGCTGCAATTGCAGAGATGGCTAATCCTGGTATCAACCCATTTGGCAAATTTAAGAAAGTATATGCTAGTGAGGACGACAAGGCAGTTGCTATAGCAGAGTGGGTTGCGCAGCATGGGAAGGAGCCAACTTTAGCGATCGGTCTTCAAGCGTGCCAAATTTCATGGGATGATGGGGAGCATGTTTATGAGGCTAGAGATCCCTGGTGGCGACAAAGATAGCTTCTCACTGCTACTTCTTAGTAAGAATCAGTTAAAATGCTTATACTCCTTAGATCAGTACTATTGTGCATGTAATGACGTAATTCTTTTGTTTTTTCTGGGCCCTTATGCATTATAAAAAGAAAAAAAAGTGCATTTTACATAAGCATATTGGCTCGTGTACTTATATTAGTTTTCAAAACCCCTTTTTTCTTGCAACATTGATTTCAACTGCAACAATCATGATTGACTGTTTGACTTGTAGTGCTAGCTTTTGCAAAATTATTATTATTATTATTATTGGCGTGGGTTGTGGGGGAGTTGGAGAAAATCCAATCTTTAACTGATGAATTTAGCATTATAGAAAGAAGAATTGGAAAGTGAATTGACTCGCCACAATTTTTTCTTCATGCTATTTTTTATAGTTTTTTGTTTTGGTCTGTTATACTTTAACTCTCAACTCATTCTCAGACTTCTGCCCTGTCTCTTTGCAGAGCGTGAGAGTCGAAACCCATATCTGAAACTAAACGTTTCCACCCCTGGCCCCCCTGAGAAGGTGGAGATTCGAACTCCCCACCTCCCCCGTCCCAAGTAGGACGTGTGGCCACTAGGTCAAACCCCATTGGTGTATTCTTTTATTGTTGACAGATATGGCAAAAGACAGTGCTATTCTTTAATTAGCTGGTGTTTAAAAGGACAAATATGGCAAAAGGAGACAAAATTAGGGGTACAAGAATCTTGAGGCTGTATTTCTTTGTCCATTTTTGCGGAAGACAGTGCTATTCTTTAACTATCTTATGCAAAGATGAAAACAGAAATACAGCCTCAAGGGTCTTGTACCCTAACTTTGTTTCCTTTTGCCAAATTAGTCCTTTTACTCTTCAGCTAGTTACTCTAATGTCAACTCCTTATCGTTTCTTTTTCATATTTCGGCTTCCAACAGTTAATGTACTTCTCGAAATTCAAAGTGAGTCTATGGGAGCCTTACTAAAATGTTGCATGTGAATTTGAGTTTAAACTTTATAAAGCATGGTCAGCTGTTGCATGTGAAGATAAGTTACTCCATTGATGTAATCTAAACATGCAGTACATTCAGTAAGTATTTTGGGTACATTTCTGTGAGCAGGCCACTAAATGAAAATAAAATAGGAAGGCTTTCCTTTTGCCGAGATAGCATGCTATAGATAAGACATTATAGTGGTTCTTTTTTTTTCTTGGTTCTTGAGCCGGGAACTGTAACTCAGCAGCAGACATTAAGCTAGTCAATAAATCTGCTGGAGATTTGGATGGTCTGGATGTATTATGGTTCTGATATTGTGTTCAGCAATGAACCGCTTATACCAACTTGCTGACAGTTTAGGAGTTCTCTTCAATGTGGTGAAGTCGACATGATGAAGTCCAAACCTCTCTGTATATCCAAATCGCCATTCAAAATTGTCGAGCAAGGACCATGCGAAATAACCCCTCACATCTGCTCCTTTCCTGTTTGAGAGGAAGAAAAGAACTTTGGATTGTAGAAATGAAATTTTAATGTATCAAGTGCTCACCGCTATGATAATTTTGTATTTTCCTATCATGGGAACTGTCTTACCTCACTGCTGAAAGGAGAGCGCTTAAATGGCCGGCCATGTACTCTACTCTTTTCAGATCTTCCAGGGGCTTTTCGTCCGTGAGTTTGAGGTCATCCTTTTCACCATAACCTGAAGAAGGGAAAAACTTTTCACTCATGACAGGACTGTGCCAGAATATTGTCCATTGAACTGTCTTAGCTTTGTGGTTCCTCTTTACCATTTTCTGTGATAAACATTGGGGTGTTGTTATACCTCTCCCTGACATACGTTACCATATTCTCCATTCCTTGGGGGTAGACATTTAACCACTCCAGGTCAGTCTGCCAATTGAAAAAACTTCAGAAATTGTTCGATGAGTTATCATTAATATGGTCTTCTTTGCTAAATGAGTCATTTATATGATCCCAACGTCACTTACAGGTTGTCCTATTGGTACGCCGTTCTTTTTTGAGCTTTGTTTGTAGTAACCTTCTGTCTTGGTGATTCCTTTACCTGGTTCACAAATAGATAAAATGCAGTCCTGCACATAGTAACTCGTGTAGTGATTGACGCCGATAAAGTCTAATCCACTCTTCAGTTTCTGCTGGTCGCTTCTTGAAAATTCGGGTAAAATGGATCCCAGAATTTCGATCATCTCTGCAGGATATTTCCCAAATATTATTGGGTCCAAAAACCTATGGAAAGCATAATAAACTAGCTTAATCACACTTTCCAAGATAGTATAGTGGTTACGTGCTGCGTTGAAGATGATCTTAGGTTCAATATGATGTGCTTACCAGCTCATGAAGAAAGATATAGCTCTCTCTGCAGCTAACTTGTCTGCCAAAGAGTTGCTGATGGGCTCGAACCATGCGGCATGTATGACAATCCCAATGATGCCACCTTGTTCCTTCTGCAATTTCATTTTGCTTTGTTAAATCCTTATTTTCATCCTACTTGATATAAACTTCTATCACTTCATTAGTTTATTCCCTTTTTGTTTTCTGATTTTGCGGTACAAAGCATTTCCTTTTCCCAGTTGTGAAATCTTGTAGTTTAAGAATAGGAAACAAGGTATCCTGAAAGTGTTGGACAACTCATTAGTATTCATTGCCTTCTTAGATTAAATTGCTCCTTGCATGTTGAAAGTCTTATATCGGCACTGATACCTGATATTTCGTCCTGTAAATGTTGACTGCAGTTGCATGCGATAAGATCATGTTATGGGCTACTATGAAAGGCTCTGTCTCCGAATCTCCAAGAGTGCAGTTTCCAAATGGAGCAGAGCAGCGGGCAGGTGGAAATTCACCCCAGCGGTATGCCAATGTTGCTTGGATGTTAGGCTCATTGAAGGTGACCCAATACTTTACTCGGTCTCCAAAGTACTCAAAGCAAATATCTGCAAAATATCCAAAATCCTCCCTACGAAAAGAAAAAGAACAAGCGGTTTCACTCTAGTTTCTGAAGAAATTTCCTTTTAAAAAATTTCCATATTCTTTTTCATTGTTATTCACGGAGCTTGATGTACGTTAGAGTCACATACTGTGATTTTGGACTGAGCCAACCTCCGTATCTATCCTCGAGTTCTTGTGGTATGTCAAAGTGAGTCAATGTTACGAAGGGTTGTATTCCTGTAACATTAAAGAAGAAGATTGTTATTTGCAGATGATGAAGATTATCGTCAATTGGTTTTCTGTGTGATTGATGTGAAGAAAGGAAGTGTACCCCTTTGAAGGAGACTGTTGATGAGTCTGTTATAGTAGTGTATTCCTGCCATGTTTACTTCTGCAAATCTTCCCTCTGTTTACAATTATCGGTTGAGGTTAGAATTTTCCTACTAAGAGGCCTTCAACACGATTGAATTTCAAATGAAATCTCAGTGAAAAGGGGAATGAGAAGGAAGAAAAAGAGGGACTTACTGGGGAGAATTCTTGCCCATGAGATTGAGAAACGATAGCTGTTCACTCCGAGTGACTCCATTAGCCTTATGTCTTCCTGTTTTTCATTTGTCATTCTTTAATTAAATCTGACTGTAGGTAAATGACTTGTCAATTTAGTTAATTAACAATAGGAGTCATCTCTTTTTTAAACTTTGCTTCATCTCAAAATTCCAAGTGCACCCAAACTTTTATGGCGATTGGATTGAACTTTCGACTTGCTTATGCAGTGAAAGAGACATTGAAATTGTACTAGTTTTGGTCCTTGGAACCGGAGTTCCCACTAGTTAGACCTAAGGTCCCGACAGCCAACTTCTCGAGTCCTTTAAACCTTAAGACCGGATCCTGGCACCCAGGTCCTCAGTGGTTGGACCCAGGTCCCTAGAGGATGTGCCAGGGTACCGTCGCCGGGGTCGGTGGAAATGGCTATTCTTTCGTATTGATTTGTATTCACTAGTCACATGCGCAGTTCGGCCGCTTCAATAAGCCCTGGCCAGATAATCATGCTGCTTAGATTATTCAGCCAATTTTATTTTTTACAAAAGCAAATTGAGAACCTAGCTCGGGTTATTGATTCTAGCCCTACAATGAGGTCTTTATTCTCTCCACAAAGCTACAAGAACATGAAGTCATATCGATTAGAGTAACTTGATATGTGATTTTGGTGCTGCTTTATTCTTCCCCTTTCTGAACTGATGCACAGAACATGCTTATCTCAACCAAAGCATTAAACAATGATTACCAGATAACGATGATAGTGATCCACGGCAATGTCGCCATTACTTCCATCGATTATGTTGCCTGCGAATCCAAGCATTCTGAATTATTGATTGATTTGTCTTTTTGCTCACAGAATCAGCTGGGAATCTAGTGAATTGACAGCATGAGATGCTTTCTAGTGAAATAAACAAAATAACCTCGTTCCCAATCAACCATGCTTATATTGCTTCATTAGGTCACGCGAAGCATGTCTCTTCATGAGCTTGACATGCAAAATCTTACTTCAGAATTCGTAGGGAAATCGTCTGCTCAATTTAGCCAAATTTTGAAAGCTATCTTCCGTTTTAACTTCTCAAGGACTATAAATTGAGGCATATCTTCGTCGAACTTTGTAGCATATGGTGAAACTGTCCCGTGCTATTTCTCCCAAGAAAGATAAAACATCTCACTTTATAATATAATTTCTTATCGAAACATTTCGTTGATAGAGTTATTATGACTCAAACCGAATATTCTGTAGCAGGAGTGAAACCTTTATGATAAAGCTCATAGGGGTTCGCTAATGCCGATTGACCCTCCTCGATATCAGAACTAATATTCCGCTAATTTAAAAACCAAGTTGTGCCCAAAAAGTCCCATACAAGATGCTTTCTATGCAACTAAACTGTGGACCATGAATGGTCATAATGGGGAAGAACAGATGCCCTTCTTTTTTCTTTTTTCTTTCTTTTTTTTTGCCCTACCTGCCCCTTTCTTGATGAGTAATTTACGCAGTTTGATGTACTCGAGCATTTAGAAAGAAAGCTACTTCACCTGGTTCATGAGCAAAAACATCCCAGTTGCTAGGACCTTTTCCATCGCTCCTGTAAGCTCCTTCAAACTACCAAACCAAGTGGGTCAAAAGAAGAAAGGAAGCTAAGCAGAGGAAACATCATTAAACACATATAAGCAGAGAGTACAAGAGATGAGTCAATGAATACCTGGTAAGAAGAAGAGGCTGTGCCAAAGAGGAAGTTGCGGGCCAGTGACGATGGGTCATCCGAGGTCATGAGCGAGTTAGAGCAAGTGCAGAGTGGAGCCAGGAAGATTTGGAAGAAGAAGAAGAAGAAGAAGAAGATGGCTTTCTTGACCTGAGAAACCTCCATGGCCACTTCACTTTGAAGCTCCCTCCTGTGCTTTCAGATCAATGCAAAGCGTTCTGTCACACCCACCCATATAATATATGGGGCATGAGAGAATCACTTTTTGAGAGAGAAAAGAGAGAGATAGCTAATCGTCATGATTGAGACACATGATGTATAATGATCACCGAACGCTTAAATAATAATTTAGTGGGGAATGTGCAATGATTCTAGCATTATTGGTTCTAAGATGAGTTATTTTAGCAGGTAAGTTGTCTATCCCCATCCATTTTTCTTTCTTTTATATACCAAAAGAATAAAAATAAATTTCCATCAGCAAGGTCACCACGGGAATATTGAGCTTCACATTTCTGGAATGATTTCTTGATATATATATGTATATATACATACGTATGCATGTAGTATTCTTATATATACACACTCATACGTATGCATGTAGTATCCTTTCACGAAGAACGTATGCTCGTGGCTGTGCTCGTTCCGACAGAGACGCCATTTCAAAGTGGTTCACGTGGTGGTGCAGAAAACAATATTTTAAGTCCACTTGTCTTTCGGATTCCATCTGGATCTTGTCTGCACTCGCGTTGAGCGATTGCTTAAAGCAAGGGCAATAGATATTGCTTGGCGTTGAGCAAAAAGAACGGGTAGGGGCAATCATCGTTAACGACTCTCGAGCTATACCTACTCGAGGTTGGCAAGCTCGTTATGCATCCTCATAATGTGCGGTCGCGGACCGCGACTCCTTCCGCGTGAGGGTGGTGAACAAGTCCCCTTCAAAATCTTCATTCCCCTCCCACGGTTCGAACTTGTGCCCTTTTATAAGTCGACTAACCATGCTTTCCCCCAGAAAATGTGCTAGCAAACTGCAACTCGCTCCGCACGAGGATGAGTAAGTCCCCTCAGAAACTTCGTTCCGCTCCTCGGTTCGGACTTGAGGATAAGGGCGGTGAGAGCATCGGCAAGAGCGAACGGCAAGAGGAGGCCTATGTTCAGGATTTGAACTCGTGTTCTTAAGGAAGACGAACAAGAGTTCGAAACATTGGGCTAACCGCGCTCCGAATAATTATAAATTTTTGTCGAATCATAGGCGAGAGCCTAAGTCCCGAGGTCATTGGCATTTATTATACAACTCTTTTTGACTCGAAGATTAAATATTTCGAGTGTAATAAGCTTGCTCAATATATTATTGGCTCGTTTCTAACTAATGAATTTGACTTGGAACATTGATAAAAAGTGGGGTTTTGTGCGACCCACTGCATTCGTGGTATCTACTATTGTTAGTGCATCACTCGACGTTAATTATTGGGAAATCTGGCCCTTTTCTGCACATTTATCTTGATCTTGTCGGATTTTAAATTGTTTTAATAGATGGGGAAGTGAGGATCATTATATGGTCCTTTGAATTGAGGATCATTCAAATGGGCCTAATGATGGTACCTTTTGAAGAAGCCTTCATCTAAGAAATTTAAAAAAAGATGGGGATAATTACACAAATAATTCTTAAACTTTGCTTCACTTTGCAATGTCGTCCCTAAACTTTTAATTTGTTTTACGTAGTCTTTAAACTTTAGCTCAATATGCAATATCCTCCCTAAAATTTTAATTTATTTACTGTGATTTCTAAACTTCTGGTAAATGTTTAATTTAGTCCTTGGGTTATTATATTCCTAGATTCAATCTAGTTATCGGATTATTTAGTCCAGAGACCAAATTGAATATGTACTAAAAGTTTATGGACCAACAAATTAAAAGTTCAGGGACGACATTACATATTGGGCCGAAGTTCTGAAATCATATTGAACAAATTAAAAGTTCAAGGACGATATTGCACATTAGGCCAAAGTTCGATGACCATTTGTACCATTTTTGTATCATTTTCCCGGTAATTTAATAAGGAAGTATTGTAATCCTTGAAGCATTTACCCATTGCCCTTGTTTCAATCAAAAGATCAATAAGATTCGAACCAGCAAAACTGGTTTTACTCTTTCATTTGTACCATTATCTCATGATCCAAACCGAATAATCACCCCTACTTCTGCTGGATTTCTTGCTGCCCAATAGTATTTATGAATGGTTGAGAAAGTAATACATAGACCCCAGGATGCAAAGCATTCAAAGCCCTTTGGGCCCAAGATAGCACAATGGAATTTGACACCACAGCCAGGTCCATCCCACATTGAGAGTCACTGTAGAATCAACATAGAGATCTTCACAATCTCTCCTTTCATTTCTTTGGAGAATGCATAAATGCATAGCCTATTCATGAGCACCATTTAGCCTCTAGAACAAGGAAGAAGAAAAGGGAGTATCTTGAACAGAAGATGCACAAAAGGTGATTGAGAGATCATGAAGTTGAGGACATAAACCGATCATACTAATTTCATACTGGGAATCGACATCCGCGTACACTTTATTTCACTCATAGCTGTACAGCTCTTAAAGACATGGAAATGGAAACTATTTTCTCTGGCTAATTATCTACTAAGACAAGATCGCGGACGATATTTCGACACATTAGGAGGGCATGCTTGGTTATCGGAGTGGCACAAGTCAGTAACTCTCAGATGATGGTCAAATCCATCAGTAGCTGCTAACTCTTCCAACTTGTATGATTTCACCTTTGCTCTCGGTAGTTTTCTCAGTCTATACTGAGTGGTAACTGCGAAGTCTCTCTGCACCCCTTCATTGCTTAGCCTGGTCATAGATGGAGATGATATATCATCAGCCATGTGAACAACTTAAAGAGGTTTGATTGTTTCACAAATTGCATATTAAGACTATATACTCGGAAAAGGCCAAGCAGCTCTATAATTATCGAGAATTGTCAAGCAAGCTGCAGAATTAGCGCCTACTGACAAACACCAATCTTTATTCAACCAATTTAAAAGTACCACTTAAACATTTAGACAAAGATAAAAACGCTTTTCATGCTTAAAGATACCGAAACAAAGTCTACTATGCTCAAGATTTTACCCTCCGAAATGGAACACTGTAGAAAAAGCCAAGAAAAATGGTCCTCCTCGAGAAACAAAATAAGTTGAAATGATATTCTGCTTTCAGGCCAAAGCATTTGTGGCCCTAAAGTAGATCGCAAGGACACAATGAAGAATGAAGACATTTTGTCAGCATGCATCGAAGTTGCAAAAGACAGAGCAACAATGCACGCAAATGCACAATCTTTTCTCCACATAGTATCAAAGAGTATCATCAATATCACATGATAAGATCTTCAGCCAGTATAGAGATTGATTTACAATGGACGGATTGGGGAGAGATAATGTACCTGAGAGTAGAGGAAGGTCCCCAGTATCGCAATGGCAGCTCCAAGGGCATTGATAGGCTGGACAGGCGTATGGAAGATAATGATGGACGAAACGATCACGGAAATCCGCTTCATCGTGTTACCGATGCTAAAGGTCAAGGGAGAGATTTGATCGAGGGACATATATGAAACTTGGTTATACAAGTGGTAGAAGACACTTTGGGCCACGACCCACCTGAGAAAGTCCAGAGCCACATAAATTTTTGGTTAGCGGGACATTAGTAATGAAAGTAATTGCGTTTAATCTCAAATATTCAAGAAAGGGACATTTCTAATTGTTGTTTTGTAAGATATTCGGGGTTGACCAAACTAAAAAGGAAGCACACACCAATTTTGAAATCACCAAACAAAAGACTTCAAAATATAAACGAGGAAAAGGTCCCACACATTCTGTCACTACACAAGAAACTCCTTCCAAACTAGCAAAGACCAATTAAAACAGAACAATGGCTCCAATACCTTCAGCGCAAAACGGACAACCATAAGCTCGAGAAAGATTTCCCATTTAAACCAACTAGACCATGAATAAAAGAAAATTCTGCATTGAAAATTAAAAAGTCTGACAATCTATCAACATTTAAATATTTGAAAGTATTTTTTCTTTCCATCAACTAATAAGCATAAACTACTGCATTCTTTCAGACTCCAAGCATAATAGATAACTCCCTTCAAAGAAAATGAAATAGTAAGCCATTAAACAGAGAATTGCATCTGCATTTTGGGGATAAAACATTGACCGTTTACTCTAGATTTGCCCTATTTACCAGGGAAAATAAAAAACGCAACATTGAGAAAATGTAACTTGACCAGAAACTCCTGTTCATCAATAACAATGTAAGAATAACCAAAGAGTTTTCTTCTCATCATGCCAAACGCCTTGACATACAACAGATCCAAGCACGGTTAATATCAATCAATAAGATCTGTCAACAACAGATATTCAAGATTTTGTGCTTACCAGACAAAATTGGGTCCAATCTGTGAGACGGCCTGTTGCCAACCAGCAGCCCACATCTGAGGGCCTTCCACGGCAATTGCAAAAGGTGTGAGGATCAAAAGGGACAACATAGAAAGACAGGCATAATAGTTCATCCCGCTAACCGACTTCCCCTTCATGCCTTTCTTCGAGAAGATGTTTCGAAACACAAATGCCAAGTTCGAGATCATAGCCCCCATAAATCCTAGAATATACAAAAACAGACATTTGAAACTCAAGATTATAATCAATCAACGAGGAAACTGAAATATCACTTTTTTCCTGCGCAAATCTTCAACATGTTGCATATATTGGCACAGGGTGAGTGCAAAACTGAGGTAATTTTTGCTTACCAATCATGTTGAAATTGAGCTCAGTCACGGCAGCAAGAGCACATCCTCCAATGATTGGCAACAGAGACAAATATACTGAAAATGGGAATGTGTCCCCCAACAAGAACCTCGAGACCAAGACACTGAAAGCAGGCTCTCCACTCTTGATGATGTGAGTGAAGGACACTGCAACTTTTGACATGCTCACAGTTGCTGCTACATGCCCAATTGTGTGAGCCACAGCTACCTACATAAGAGAAACCATAATTCAGATGCCAAACTTTAATCTTTATTTGCAACCTTCATTTGCATTTTCTTTTGAGTAGATCACAATTCATCAAAAACTGAAAACTGGTTCTGCCGAAGCAAAATTCACGAAAGATTCATCCTTTCAAAACAAAGTAGCCAGAAATTGAATTGCATGAAACAGGAAGATTGACAGCTTGCATTCTTAAGAAACTGTCCGAATTTGAAAAACTGGAGTAGATGTCAGACTATTATTATAACTGAAGATCTTCAACCAAACACAACCCAAAATTCAAAAAAAAAGAACGACAAAAAAATGAAAGATAACAAACTCACCGGCAATAGCATCTTCCAAAACTCAAGATCAACCTTTGGGGTCTCGGCGACTTTAGTCGCCCAAGAAATCAGCATCATCAAAGAACCAGCAGCGAGCGAGAGCGTGGACGTGAGCCACGGATAAGGGAACGCATTCAGAACCTTCTTGTTGTATATATTGAACACCACATTCAGAGCCCACCAAGTCGCAAAGTACAAACCAATCTTGATCCGCTGAGCGGCCTCAGCCCGGGCCGGCTCATCAGGGAGGTCGATGTTGATCTCAAGCGGCCTATCGGCAGCTTCGTAGGCATTGCACTCGACCTTGCGCTTCTGGGGTTTCGCCGCCAATGGCGAGAACGTCTCGATTGAGGAGATGTACACGGGTTTCTGGGGAGAGACCGAATGGTTCAGGCTCAGCCGCTCATTTCTAATGATGGGCATCGGCGAAAACTGAGGCTTGGCAACCGAGCGTCTCTGGGTCAAGAAACCGGAGGACGCGAAGGGCGAAGCTGCATGCCGCACTGAAGAGATCATGGTGGGCGCTGGTTTCGTGCGCTTGCCAAACTCGAGAAAATTTAAAGAAGCAGAGCAGAGCAGAGCAGAGAGAAATCAAGAAAAGGAAAACGAATCTGCCAACGAGCTCCCTTAGCTTGGCTTGTTCTTGGGAGCCCCGGAGAGCGAAGAACTTCGGTGGCGGTTGCTTCAAGATGGACAGGAGCTGGGATTGCTTCTCGGGTGGCGGAGAAAAGTTGGCAAGATAGGAGAGAGAGAGAGAGAGAGAGAGAGAGAGAGAGAGAGCTGCAAATCTATGCGTGAATCTAACGAAGAGTGTAGAGTTTCGAGGAAGGAAGGAGTTCTAGGGAATGTGGTCCTTCTTCCTAGGGAAGTGAGTCGTGAGTCGGTGTAAGGGAAGAGAAGGGAGGACGGACGGCTTATATAGGCTCTAGGGGAAGAGAGACAAGAAAGAGAGAGAGAGAGAGAGACCGACCTGACAATTTCTGACACGATACAATAACATTGTTTCGAATTTATTATCAAGTTTGAGGAAAAAAACATAGAAAGAAGGCGGTTTTATTGAGACGTAACACAATGCAATCAATTCGAAATTGACGAGAATATGATGGTTTCGATGTAAATTGTCCGAGTCCTAGACGGACGGTGGAGCGTCGAGCTGTGTTTGGTGAAGTGGTGACTAGGAATTTACCATGGTGATATTTCTTGTCGAAATCCTTGGAATATGCTTTGTGGGTCGCTTTCGTACCTTGATGTTTCTGTCCTATTGTTTTTCTCGATTTATGTGTGATGTGTTTGTTCGTATGAAAGAGGTTGTCGTATCAAAATTTGACGGTGCAAATTAATCTGAGATTTAAGAAGATAAAACTGTAATTAGATTATGGGAGTTGTCATGCCTAATATTTGAAAAAGCCTGTGTCGTACCCAATTTATCTTTGCAAATTAGCATTTTGAGTCAAACTCATTTTACGCCATGTCCAAAATCATCGGCCTCTCTAACGAAGCATGTCATTGTGGAATTTTTCCACGTCAACAGCTGAAATTACAAAAAAAAAAGATTTGAAACTTGAAAGTGTTGAGTTCCCTCTTTGTTATCGACACAAAACAACAAGGGAGCAAAAAAAAATTGACTTACAAAGATAAATCCTACCAAAAAGCTTGAACTTTCAACTTCCGCCAATACCCTAAACTTGTATCAGCAGCCCAACATTACCTACCGTCACAGTTCCGTCGACAATGGCTGTTTAAAATCTTACCCGGCATTGTCCACACGTGTTGCCATGTCGGATCTTCAATGACCATTAAACTATGATTGAAGGCATTTTTTAAGTTGTTAGTACAATTTTGAGAAGAATGGCGAGACGAGAAAGATAGTTTGGGTATCGATATCTCACCGAATTTTCCTTTTCTTTAACGTGGGTCAATCTTTAACGATGTAGGTTGTCCGTGAGCTCCACGAGTTGAATTCGATTCAAGATTGATGGCAGAGAAGGAGGAGAAGGAGGAGAAGGAAACAAGCATGCAATTTCCTGGCAGGATTCTTTCCCCAGCCCCACCAAGAATAATATCGGCCATCATTATTAGAAAAATACAAAAGAACATGCCTCATATTCCCAAAAAGATTTAATAAATAAATAAAATAAAGTCCAACCCTATTCTTCGTTTTTTTTCCCAATTCAAAAGCCCCCTTTCAATTCCACGCCGCAAATTCCATCCATGCTTCTACATCTTGTTTGAATAGTTGGCTGATGGGAGAAAAAATTATAAGCGAAAGTGGCAAGAGACTTGGTCCCGAGCAAGGCGTCAAAAGGTTTCGTCTGAACTCTGAGACGTTAAATATGGGGTATTTTTCTGGGGTGAGGAAAGAAAAACTTTCTCCTAATTAGGGGTGCGAGGCGTGTGGGCACCGACACGTTAAAATAAGATACGCATCCGTGGAGTTTGCCGTCCTTGCAAGAAAACGGATAGATTGTGGAAGCCCTCGTAGGAAAACTCGCTTCCCCTCTCTTTGATGAAGTACCCACGAGGATCGATGTAACCCTCCTCTCAATTCCCCACCGCAAATTCCATGCAGCTTCTACAACTTGTTCAAATAATTGATCGATGGGAGAAAAAAATGTAAGTGAAAGTGACAAGAGACCTCTGCACTCTGTTGTGAAATACACGGTTAGCAGAGGGTCGGGAGCACCAACATTTGTCTATTTTCACTTGATTGTTCGAACCAGGTTGTATTGATTTTGACTTGATGTTGATATTTGCAAGATGGAAAATAAGTTGCTCACCAGCTCGTGTGGAATAATTTGATGGGAGTGCACGAGATATTTTCGAATTTGGCCTCCTACTTTTGGGACGAACGATCAGGAAACGCTTAGCAATCGCTTGTCGATACATAGGGCGGGAGTTCCATGCCATCTTGTCGCGAGGTTTGGTTCGATTTGTACACGTGGTGATGTAGATTGTTTTATCACGTTTCGAGTTCATCGACCCAACAAGGTTTAATTCGATTTGAGCACATTTATGACATGATGGCTATCTCAAATCAGGTGTCGTAAACCGGCTTCAGATCGGTTCCATGTGATTCAATACGATAGTTCAGCGCTCCAAGAAAACATTTTCTTGGGAAACAAACTTGAAGGAGAACCAATTCATTGGATGTAATATTTTTTTTTTGTATTTAACATGGCAAAAATGGAAGCTGTAATTATTAAAAACAACCTTAGGCTATTAGAAACAGGCGTGGTTAAACATAGAAATTGTCCAACATACTCCTCACGAATAAACTGGACTTTGGCCTAGTTAAGCATTTCATGAGAGGACAATTAAGATGATGGAGTGATTTAATTTTTAAATATTATAACAAAAGCTGAAATAAAAAAAATGTACAGTGAACTTCTATCAAATTATTCACAACGGGAACAACTTGATTTTGATGTCACGAAATTCCCGTTTGTGCACATAAAATGGATTTATCAACATCAAATCAAAATCAAAACAACTTGGCACTAAAAACCAAAGTGAAAATAGACAAAGTGTTTGGTGTTCCCAAACTCTCTCCTAACCGTGTATTTGACACAAAAGTCCAGGTCTCTTGTCACTTTCCTACTATAATTTTCCAGCACAATGTATTGCCTTCCACATTCGCATTGGAGTACTAGTTGCATGGAATTTGCGGTGGGAAATTGAGAGACAGGTTACATCGATGCTCGTTGGAAAAATTGGAAAGGTTGATACATCGGTGGTCGACATGGTGATGGAGGTAGTCCGTCTTGAAAAGATAATAAAAAGTAGAACGGAAAAAATTACCCAATCGGTCATAAATTTATTGTGTGGATGTCGATTCAGTCTTAAACTTTTCAATTTTGCCAATCTAGTCCTAACCCTTTGCCCGAAATTTCAATGTATGTATAATTTTCGTTGGAAATAGCTAACGTGTGATGGTCTAGTCATCGTCGGCTGTCCTACTGGCGGGAATTTTCGGTGAAAATTGGCTATCGCCGGACTATATTGGGATTTCGTGCAAATGTTTATGACTAAATTGATAAAATAAAAAAGTATATAACTGAATTGACATCCGTATAATATGTTTATGACTAACTGATTGGATAATTTCCCCAAAGTAAAATCAAATAACACTATTAAGTGGACGAAGATTACATGGGTTTAGGGTATTGATCCGTCATGACAATGTGTCATTGGTCTTGCAAGAGCCGTCGGTGGTGTGAGGTAGTTATTGCTGTGGAGAACGGCACTAGCATTCGGTGGTCAGGAGCGGCGGCGGCGGCGACAGCATTCTCAATGATTGATTGATCAAGATAGTTAGATTTAATTAGAAAAGTAATATGAAAGTGTGTTGACTGCATGAGTATTGGGAGGGTCGTTTGATGTTATTGGAGTTTTGGTGGAATGTAAGGTAATGGAATGGTCACCTGACTCTCCAGAACCAGCAAGTATCAATCTGTCCTTTGGGCATCCTCCGCAGGTCATGCCCAACGTTCTCCAACAGATACTATGGCCCCTATTCTGCAATGTCTTTTCTAACAGTGTAATGTCACATGCATCACACTTGGACTGTTGGTTAAATGATTCTCTAACTCATAGTTCACCCTAAACTCTCGTCTTCTTGAACTTTTTTGCGACATGGGTGTTCGGGGTCGTTCGAGCGCATGGCCAATTGAAGATGAAAACTGGATTGTCCCTTTTGTCTCGAATGGAGTGATTACGGAAGTGTAGAGGTCTGTATCTGGGTGTCTTGAGGTACAAGCGGTGATTCAAGCATAGACCTTGAATGAGAAAGACTGAAAACACGTGCCGCTCGATATTCGACAGTGTGATGGCAACTGTTTCAGGACAACATAAATTGAATAATAATCTGTATGCTTTGGGTCTGTGTACCCTAAATGGTTGAACCTCTTGCAACGATCCCAAGCAGACGATGCTTTTTCCTTTTTACACAACATGACAACATTATACACAGATGCTCCATTGTGTTGAATCTGTAATATGAAACAACTTTGGCATCATTCCATGAGCCAGAAGCCCTTCAGTGGAGCAAACTGCCCTCGAACAACAGATGACAGAGGAACAGAGAAGAAAATTCTCATTTCTTTTTGTGCTTTTTGTTTTCTGAATAGGAAAGAAACTGTCTCCTCTTTCCAAAGAGAAAGAGTCACTTGCTCTTTCCAAAGCTGTAAAACAGAGCTCAAGAGCTAAAACAATGCACTAACTACTTCAGAGCAGTCTTTTGTCTAATCGAATTTGACGATGAATCGAGTGTAATAATAAGTAAATATTAAACTACGAATTTATTTAACAGCTTAGGTTTTTAGAATAGTTAATAGTGATCTCACTAAATCTTATATGATATTAGAGTAGGATGTCTTGAGTTTAAATCTTTCCAAGCTTCATTTTTCTTCCTAATAAAATATGTCCATGTTTAGTGCTAAAAAAAAAAAAAGATAGAACAATTGGCAATACTGCGATTCACCACACTCTAGGGCAACTGCTCATCAGGTTTAAGATTCACTACTCTTCTAACAACTAATCAAACAAGCACAAACCCATCTTAAACAACCAACACTAACAACAGATAAAAGGCAAACATTGCGCGAAGAGATGCCTAGGTTGAAGCTTAAACTGAGGGGACAAGGTAGATTGATTCAACCCAAGTCCATAGCCGGCACCTACACTGAACAGGTCAAGCAAGTGAGACGGTCTGACTTTTTAATGCAGAGATAGAAACAACAAATTCTAACTTTGTGGGGCCAACAGTTTACATTTCTACAGAGAGTACCAGAAACATTGTAAGTGTATTGCTTAGTAGGAAAGACTGTCAACGTAGGCTCTGTTTATTTTGTAAAAATGAATGTTTTGAAAAATATTTTCTTAAAAATGAACGCTTGTATTGCTCGAAATAATTAGTCAATGAAAATATTATAATTATCTGCTCCCACAGGAAGACATCAGATAATTCAATCTGCCTAAGGTGTGAGCCGAAACAGTGCGGTGCGGGATCCAATTCTGCACGATCTTCGTCATCACTATATACTCCGATACCCTGATTATCAAAATGAGAGAAGCACAGTTTAGACATCACGCGTTTCGATGGCAGAAGACCACGAGAGAGGATGTTCTTTTTTACTCAAAATCCAGTTACCTCGCTCAATTTAAGCGTTTCAAGATGCGGGGCATTATGCAGCAACTTAATTATCACTTGAAGTTTCAAGTCTAAACGCCCGAAGTCCAATAACTTCAGATTAGGAAAGACAGGCAGATGCGAGCAGAGCTCATCCACACTACTTAGAACCTGCAAAGTAGACAAAACAGACATGCTTGCTAGTAAGAATAATCTCGAGGAAGCGGGTGAGAGACAAAATAACAAATACCAAATGCATTTGGAACTGATATTGAGGGGAGATAGAACTTCCAGATTTCTCTGGGTAAGCAGAGATACCTACCTGGACAGCCAGGCTCGACAGTGTCAATTTTTTGACGGAACACATCGCTTTGAGAAGCTTGTGTAGACGGTAGGCAACAAGTCCAGTCTTACTTAGATGCCATTTATGGAAACTGATGTGTGCCTCCACTAGTGAGCATGACTTATCGACCTGATAATCATTCAGGAATGGACTTCTGCAATGCATCCTTTCGAGATTATTTCCATAAATCAAAACTCGACAGCTATATGGGTGAGGTGACAAATAACCGAAATCCTTGTCGATTATGGTCAAGATCTTCAGCATGGGTGCACGAATAGTCAGTGTCTTGAGATTATCCCAATTACAGTTGGTGATGGTCAACTCCTCAAGCACTGGGCTAGATAACAGCTGCTCGGTCGAGCCCTCGTCCACAAAGGTGATGCTCACGAGAAGCAAGAGTTTAAGATTCGGAAGGAAAATGCAAGAAGGTAGTTTCAATGCCCCCGAGATGAATAACTTCAAGCGAGTCAGTGTTGAGCAAGTGAACAAGCAGCAAGGCAAGACGAAATTTCCTGGGATATCTTTAAGGGAGACAAAGCACTCTTTGACATTCCGTTCTACAGCAGCAGATACCCATAAATTAACAAGCGATGAATCGCCCAAAACTTTAAAACTCAGGTCAAACCGTTTTATGCGATAGGAGCCTCGGAGAAGTACTCTTTCTGTGAAGTTGGTAAAATGCTCCCTCCTGGAAAAGCGCCACTCGCATAATTCAAGATTAGGATGAGAGGTCCAGAGAGATCGCCACTTTTTCGACAGCACGCACGTTCCGACAGCATCCTTCATCGGAACAATAGACAAGATGTGTTCGAGAATCGAGTCTGGAAGATTGTCGATGTAGCAAATGACCGCATCCATGTCTTGTTCTTCATTCGGCTTCCGGATACTTGGAGCACGAAAAGCACCATCATTCATCAATGAACGACACATGCAATCGATCGAGCTAAGATGTACATCTTTGATTCACAACAGAAGTTCGGAATAGCTATATTTCTTTAGTCTAGAAATTCGACTCTTTATCAATATTAAATCCAACCCATCATTCATCCCCTCATCTACAATCACAACACCGTACTTCGGAATCAGGCCAATCAGTCCAACTTAAATCTGATCAATGACGAGACTACCCGTAAATTGTATCTTTTAGCCGAGTTCTCCGTGATCACCCTTTAAAGTTGCTGGCTTTTTTTCTTTTCTAAAACAAGCCATTGCCCTGTAAACGTCGTCCAGAATAAAGAAGCAAAAAGGAACGAAAAACGAAGAAGAAGAAGAAGAAGAAGAAGAAGAAGAAGAAAAAGAACATCAACATGCAATGTCAAGCTATCGGGAAGAAGTGAAAGTACCACCTTAAGAAAGACGACGGCGCTTGGAGGTAGGACAAGCTGCTGCTGCGGCTGTTTCCCATCGAAGGTACACAATATTACTATAAAGGACATTTAGATTAAATTTAACGAATCTGGATCTTTAAAGATTAAGTGTATGTACCTTTGAATGAGAAGTACATCTAAGTAATTGGGCGGGTTTGGTCAAATAGGTCAACCCCATTTAAATCGGATTGATCTTTCTTTATCTTATCTTTTATTATTGAAAAAAAAAAACGAATAACTTACGTGAATTGAATAATCAAGTCCTATAAATCTTAATTTGTTTTATCAAAGTCCATTTTAGTCCAATATGGTCCTCTAGTTACTAAAGATAGGAAAATTTGATCAAATTGATGACGTCTTGTCCTTGTTCTTGTTCTTCCCTTGACTTCCCGGGCTTGTCGCTTTATCAATTTGTTCGTCCTACCCCAATCAAACGTTATGTATAATTTTCATATTGACTACATGTTAGTACTTTCTTTTGCCTCAGTAGGATGGCAAGTCATTTTTCAAGACTAAACATATACAAAGTCCGGTCGTCAATTTGACCGAAATTTCAGATCTTCGGTCATCGGACGACGATATTGAAAACGGACTAAAGTTATAGGACGTGATTGCACACATTAAAATTACGTGAACTAATTGCATAAATTACGAGTTATCGGACTTGATTACACAATTCATCAAGTCCTAGATCTGATCCGATAAGCACTATGAACAGTGCAGATCAATTCCCTTGTGAGTTGATAGTGCTTATCCTCTGAGAGCTTGAATCTGCTATCCCAATTCACTAATATCCAAGCCCATTGAAATAGTAAAGTTATAGTACGTGTGCACGTGTATTGCCTCGAGTTCTAGTTCTTGCACAATACTCTACGAGCAAATTTAGAGAATAATTCGGCCAAAAGTCAATTGATCCAAGCTTTGAACAGAGCAGTACTCCATGTCTTGCATTCGAGCCTCTTTGTTTTTTGGCAATAGCATTCGAGCTTGAAAAACAAAATTAGGATCATTCGGGAAGGGCGGGACATTGAATCCGAAGCCGTCTGCATAGTTCTGCTTATAGAGTCGATATGATGACCCAAAAAGGAAATCCAGCTTCCTGGAACAACAAGAACATGTGCACTTTCAAGACAGCAACTTACAAATTATGCCAGTGACTTTTGGTGAATCTTAAACTCTTGAAGGGTCAGAAAAAGGTGATCTCTAAGCTTTTCGATCCTCAGGGGATCTATAGTAACTTTTTGCGGGACATCGCCACAATTCCCTGCTCTCGACGATGCCATCTGGGCCATATCATGAATTTTTCCAGGACCATCGTATGCTTCAGCAACAATTGCAGCACGCGAGCCTCCTTCTCACACAGGAATGCATTATATAATTCAATCTGCCTAAGGTGCGAGCCGAAACAACTGGATGCCGGATCCAATATCGCACCATCTTGATCATCACTGGGATATAGTTCGATACCCAGATTATCAAAATGAGAGAAGCACGGTTTAGACATCATGCTTTTCGACAGCTGAAGACAACAAGAAAAGAAGGTTCTTCTTTAATCAAAATCCAATTACTTCACTAATTTCAAGGGTTTTAAGATTCGGGGAATTATGCAGCAACTTAACAATCACTTGAAGTTTCAAATCTAAACGCCCGAAGTCCAATACCTTCAGATTTGGAAAGACAGGCAGATGTGAGCAGAGCTCGGCTTCCCAACGTAGAACCTGCAAAGAAGGCAAAACAGACATGCTTGCTAATAAGAATAATCTTTAGGAATCGGGCCGGAGACAAAATATCGGATACCTAGTGCAATTGGAACTGATATTGAGGCGAGATAGAGAAGTTCCAGATTTCGCCGGATAAACAGAGATACCTACGTTGACAACCGTGCTCGACAGTTCCAATCTTTCGACGGAACACATCGCTTCGAGAAGCTTATGTAGACGGTAGGCAACTTGTCCTATCCTACTTACATCACATCTATAGACAGTGATGTGCGCCTTCACTAGTGAGCACGACTTTTCAACCTGATAATCATTCAAGAATGGACTTACGCAACTTATGCTTTCAAGAATATATCAAAACTCGACAGCTATGTGGGTGAAGTGACGAATAATCGAAATCCTCGTCGATTATTGTCAAGATCTTCAGCATTGGAGCGCGAATAGTCACTATCTCGAGATTATCCCAATTACAGTTGGTGATGGTCAACTCCTCAAGCATTGGGCTGGATAACAGCTGCTCGGTCGAGCGCTCGTCCACAAACGTGATTTCCATGAGATCCAAGAGTTTAAGATTCGGAAGCCAAATTCGAGAAGGTAGTTTCAATGCCCCCGAGATGAATAACTTCAAGCGAGTCAGTGTTGCGCAAGTGAACAAGCATTGAGGCAAGACGGAATTTCCTGGGATTTCTGAAAGGGAGACAGAGCACTCTTCGACATTCCACTCTACAGCAGCGGATACCCATAAATTAACAAGCGATGCATCGCCCAAAACTTTAAAATCCAGGTCAAACCGTTTTGTGCGAGAGGAGCCTCGGAGAAGTACTCTTTCCGTGAAGTTGGTAAAATGCTCCCTCCTGGAAAAGCGCCACTCGCATAGTACAAGATTAGGATGAGAGGTCCAGAGAGCCACTTTTTCGACAGCACGCACGTTCTGACAGCATCCTCCATCGGAACAATAGATAAGATGTGTTCGAGAATCGCCTCTGGAAGATCGCCGATGTTGCAAATGACCGCATCCATGTCTTGTTCTTCGTTCAGCTTCCGGATACTTGGAGCACGAAAAGCACCATCATTCATCAATGAACGACACATGCAATCGATTGAGCTAAGATGTACATCTTTGATTCACAACAGAAGTTCGGAAGAACTATATTTCTTTAGTCTAGACGTTCAACTCTTATCAATATTAAATCCAACCCATCATTCATCCCCTCATCTACAATCACAACACAGTACTTCGGAATCAGGCCCATCAATCTAACGTAAGGTGATCAATGACGAGACTACCCGTAAATTGTATCTTTTAGCCGAGTTCTTGGTGATCACCCTCTGAGGTCGCTGGCTTTTTTTCTTTTCTAAAACAAGCTGTTCCCTGTAAACGTCGTCCAGAATAAAAAGGCAAAAAAGAAGGAAAAAAGAAGAAGGAAAAAAGAAGGAAAGAAGAAGAAGAAGAGCATCAACATGCAATGTTAAGCCAATAGGAAGGAGGGAAAGAACCACCTTAAAAAAGACAACGGCGCTTGGACGTTGGACAAGAAGCTTGCTGCTGCTTCTTTTTCCCATAGACGGACAAGAAGCTTGCTGCTGCTTCTTTTTCCCATAGAAGGTGTAATAACGTCTACACTGTATAATATTGTCCGCTTTGGGCCCACTGACCCTCACGGCTTTAAAACGCGTTACACAGATATAGAACCCCAAGCTTTATAAGCTAGCCCGGAACTTCCCCCTAGGCGATGTGGGATAAGAGAGGTACCCCACTTCCCTGCACACGTCCGGGGTAGTGGCGCGGACGCACCACCATCCCTCCACCCCGCGCTCTGCCACTTGGCTTGGGCCGTCACACTCTCCACCCCTTATGGGCTTAGCGTCCTTGCTGTGGGCCCACATGCGGTCGGGAGTTGGCTCTGATACCACAATATGTCACACCCCGAAACCTACCAGGATGGGAGATGACACGGCCGTCCTTCCATCCGAAGGACGCAGCCTCAAACCACCCAAATATCCACACGACATCACTCTCGCTCTATTGGCTACTAGCCAAGGAACCTGAAAAATTGGGGAAAGAGAGGGGTGAGCAACCACAGCTCAATAAGCAGTGCGTATCTCTTCTAAGCAGATCGAGCAACCACTATGCATGAATACATAAAGCCATACCAGAATTTCAGGAGCCAAACTCAAGATATCAAATACATATAAAATCACATAAGAGTTGTTTCATGTCAACAAGACTTTATAAAATTCAGAAAATACTCATTTAAATCATCATAAACATCAATGGTCAAGTCCATTGATCAATCTCTATTAAAAACCATGTCAATGGTCCATTCCATTGATTAATCTCAAATCACACATTAATGGTCTATTCCATTGATGAATCTCATATCACATCACATGTTGATGGTCCATTCCATCGATCAATCTATTGCTCAATATCTAACCATGATCACGACATAAAGCCTTGTGACAAGGCTATCAAGATTCCTCCCTTGGCAAAATTTCCACCTACAAAGCCGGTGGCTCGGCTCAGAAGGATATCCTAAACTGGTATGCATACCCCCAAGCCCCTCAATGGGTTCACAGTCATATTGAGCATCAAACAATCATCATCCAATATCAGAAATCCAATCCAGCATACAATCTCATAAACCAAATAATTAACTTTTCACAATATAGATTATCCACCATTTCTCAAATCATTCATAAACCAATTTCACATACCAAGTATATTACATTTTACGACTCGACTCAACCACCAGAAATCCTTTTTGCAAAGTATTTCTCAAATCATTTGAGAACTCGTTTCTCAAACCATAATATATTTCACACACCCATTTCAAATCAATATATATACCTCGTTTCGCAACATCATTTCCAAAACATATCTTAAACCATTTACAAATACAAAAATGTAGTAAATGCCCGATCCATACTTTTATGCAACAACTATGTTCTTTCACAGTTTGTTATATATCGAGTTTATTCCGCTTTCAAGACATGAGTTTAGAAATTCATAGAAGAGATAGCACCACTCACTTGGGAATGCCCCATAACCAAACAACGTGGCTAAACTCGCCGATGATCTCGTAATCCTATCAATTAAACGAGAATTGACGTCAATACCAAGTAAAACACCATTGCACTAACAACTCGACTAAACCAAGCTTAGACACTAACGAAAAGACTCCTACGCGCTAACAAAACTAACAACCGAAGCGATATTCAAAATTATCCGTAACGCGAAACTTGATTGTGCCATAATTTTCTCATCGAACTCCGATCCTAGCAAACTTATAGTCAAAAGAAAGCCCGTTTAGAGTATTACAAAAGCCCAACTTGGCTGCCCCAAAATCAAGTCGAAAACTGACGAAATATGGCCTGAAGTTTGTCGGACGTGTACTGTTCACCTCACGCGGAAAACTTCAAAAATTCGTTTCGGGCAAACGGTAAGTCCAAATCAAGATCTGTAAAATCCCACGGCTCCATGACACCTTAAACTACCAATTCTATATATATACGCAGCTCAATGACTTAAAAATCGGACTTCGCGGCTTGAATTTCCCAAAATTCCGAATTTAAACCTTAAATCTAAAAACTTCTCCGATCGGATGAATAAGGGGCGCGAATGCTTACCGGGCGTTGCGATACGAAGTCGAATTGGCTTGATGAGGCGTCCGTGGCGACTACGTGCGAAATCACTCTTCTTTCTCTTTCACTCCCTTTCTTCCTCTTCTTTCCTCTTCTTTCCTTTCCTTCTTTTCCTTCCTCCCCGAAAGCTCTCGATCCCCCCTTTTTTAAATTAAAGTTCACTGTAGCTTCTTTATTGACTTTTCAACCCCCCTTTTTTTTTCTTGTAATAAGCCGAGTCTATACTGTGTAATATTGTCCGCTTTGGGCCCACTGACCCTCACGGCTTTAAAACATGTTACACAAATATAAAACCCCAAGCCTTATAAGCTAGCCCGGTAAGGGGCCTTTAAGCCAACCAATTATATTCTTGGGGTAAACCCATCATGTGGCATCCCAGGCACACCCCTTCCTATATGTCATTCTAACCTCACACGATGATAAGAGTTCGCACTCGGAAACGTTTCTTTTTAAAAAAATAGCATTTAAATCCTGAATTAATAACTAATCAAAAATATAAAGATATCACTGGCACTGAATTTCAACATTTCTTTATTTATAGACATGGATGATACAAGGGTGAGTTCATACTAGGGAGGCTATGTACAGTGCTACTCCCATCACTATCCTATCAACATGAGACTCACCATTTCATCTATCAAAAGTGTATCACCTATCACGTGACCCTATCCCAAAAAGTGTCGGTCACATGTCCCAAAAATGATCCTCCCCGTCCTCCAACTACAGCTCACTCCACCCCACAAGTAACTATGGTTACTTATGTGATATCAGTAACGTTTGTTACTTATTAGTTAGCTATGACAATTGATCATCCATAGTAACTGGTGATCAATTTGCAGAACTGGGCAATACAAGATGGTGAGGTATGGTGCATCATCTTCTAGTGCCTCTCAAGGAAGAGACCCTCGAGTAGATGGAATCCTGGAAGCATTGGCCAATGTAGGGGCATTGTTTGAGCAACAAGCCCAGCAGCAAGCGGTAACAGGGAATGGTGGTCGTCGTGTGCAAGGACTTATTGAACAATTTCTGAAATTGAAACCAAGTAAGTTTGCTGGAGTGGGAGACCCCAACGAGGCCGAAAGGTGGATACGTAGTTTGGAGAAAATATTCAACCTGTTGACTTGTACCGATACTGATAAGATACTTTTTGCTGAGTATCAACTGGAAGGAAATGCGAAACACTGGTGGAGAGCATCGAAAGAAGTAGTGTTTCCCGCGGGTACGGAAATAGCTTGGGAGAAGTTTGTGGAGGCATTTTATGAGAAGTATTTTTCTGACTGTGCTAAAGATCAGAAAATAGCAGAGTTCATACAGCTATGTCAGAATAATATGACGGTGGATCAGTACGAGGCTAAGTTTTATGAACTATCTAGGTTTGCGCCTCATATGGTGGAAAATAGAGAGGATAAAGCCAAGAGATTTTTTAATGGGCTAAAGACTGATATCAGAAAGTAGTTAGTACCCTTCGATATAAGGGACTATAATGTACTTTACAGACGTGCCCAACTCATTGAACAGGAGTTGATGAAAGAAGAACTAGAGGCCATGGGACAAGGTAAGGTAAGTCATCAAGCCACACGGGATAACGTCAGATTTGGCAAAAGGCCCCTCCAGTTTGGAAAACCTTCTTTTGTCCATAATAAGAGACGCAACAACATGAGATCGTGGAATAACCAGTCGATGGAGCAGTGGTCATTCCCAAATGGAAACTGCTGCCAATGTGGGAGACAACACGGGAATGCGCCGTGTCCAATGCTAAAGAGGTGTTTTGGGTGTGGACAACTCGGTCATGTTGTTAAAGATTGCCCTCAAGGGAGACCACAACCTAGTGCATCGCCAGCGCGGCAACAACAACAACAACCAACTCAGGGCGGAGCACCACCACCAAGGAATTTGCAAAGACCTCCAATGCAAGGAAAAGTGTATGCGATCACTCAGGAGGAAGCGGAAGCTTCCAAGACTATTATTTCAGGTACGCTCTTCTTGTGTGATCAACTGGCATACACATTATTTGATATGGGTGCTACGCATTCCTTTGTATCTGCAAGATTTATGCGATTAGTTGGATTGAAGTCTGAATTGCTTGAAGTGCCTTTGAGTGTCTCTACACCTCTAAAGGATATGATATTATCAACATTGGCATGTAAGGATTGTCAGATCTCTATAGATGGAGTGGATCAGAGGATAGATCTGGTAGTTTTAGTTATGTACGACTTTGACGTTATCATAGGAATGGATTGACTTAGTAAGCAACGGGCCAATGTAGATTGTTATGAGAAGGTGATTCAGTTTAACCCACCAGATCACCCTAGCTTTGAATTTGTCGGGAATGGAATGAATTCTTCATTGCCACTTATCTCAGCACTCGAGGCACATAGACTCCTCAATAATGGTTGTCGAGGATACTTAGCAATGGTTAGGGATCAAGTTAA